TAGAACTTGTATTTGAATTTAGCAGGATTAGAAAACACAAGGTATATATAAAAATTCAGGTCTGTGTATACTTGCTATAAATGAAGACTTGGATATTGAAATTTAAATTATGTAGGAGGGCGGAGGCGGCCACGAGGGGCGCAGACGCGCAACTTGTCTGCTCCATCGTTGGGTGAGAGCAGAGAGCGAGGCAGTTCCCCCGCCGCGCTTGCTCCGGACGCCGCGGCCGCCTCTCGACCCTGCGACCCGCGGGCCGAGCTGGGGTGCCGGGGACCGGGTCGGGACGGGCTCGGAAACTTGGGGAGTCGTCACCGCCTCAGCACCCAGGTCGGGCCGTGGGTCTCCTGGGCTCGAAGATCCACCTCGCGCCGCGGCAGGACGAGAGCTCGAGGGGAGCTCGGCGCCCCGCGTCCCCGCCACCGCGCCTGGCTCACACGCGGGGCCTTGGGTCCCTTGCTCAGCTGCGTTCCTCTGCCATAGGACCTGCGAGAACTGACCGAAGATGAACCCCCAACAACAGCGCGTGGCCGCGATAGGGACCGACAAGGAGCTGTGCGACCTGCTGGACTTCAGTGCGATGTTTTCCCCATCTGTTAATAGTGGGAAAGCCAGACCTAGGACACTGGGAAGCAGTCAGTTCAGTGGATCAGAATTTAGAAGATGATGAAACACTTTCCACCTTTCTTTATGAAGCCAGAATTAACCTGATTATGTAAACCAGACAAACAGTAAACAATAAAGGAAGGACAAAGGAAAAGAAAACTATGGACCAATTTACCTCATGAACATATTGCATAAATCCTCAAAAAAAAAAGCAATTAAATTCTACTGTTCATAAAAGGAAAATCATAATCAAAACATACAGCTAAAATCATACTTAATGAAGGAATGACAGTTTTATTCCATGAACAAGAACAAAGCAAGAACGTCTACTCTTAACCTCTCTCCAGTTCAGTATTTTACTAGAAAATCCTGGTCAGCATTACTATGGCAACAAAAGGAAATAAAAGTGGAGGAGATTGGGAAAGAAGAAATAAAACTGTTTCCTTTGACAGACAACATGATTGTCCCAAAGAATCTTCAAAAACCTAGAGTTTAGCAAGGTCACAGGATATAAGATACACATACACACCCCCATCCCCATCCCAGTCTTAATTCTCTATACATTTGGCCCGCCATTTCTTGCGGTTCATTGTCTGCACATTCAACCAACCATGGATTAAAAGTATGTGAAAGAAACTGTGGCTGAACTAAGCATGTGTCTGAACTAAGCCCTTTGTTGTCATATTCCCTAGGGAATATAACAATTATTTATATAGCATTTATATTGTCTTAGGTATTATAACTGATATGGAGATGATTTAAAATATACAAGAGGATGTGTATAGGTTGTATACAAATACTGTGCCATTTTCAAAGGAACTTGAGTATCTGTGGATTTTGGTATTTGTGGAGTTTCCTGGAACCACTCTCTTGTGGATACTGAAAAACTACTGTCTAGCAATGTACAATAGGAACATTCATGGAATAATAAGTACTATTTACAGTAGTTCCAAAGGAACAGAAACTTAGGTATAAATATACATACCAAAAAATAAAAATAAAAAATATATATATAACATACATGTACACTTGATCTGTATGCTGAAATCTAAATAGTACTGAAGGAAATCAAAACAGACCTAAATGTAGAAGTATACTATGTTCATATAAAAACCGTCAGTCCTTCCCAATTTGATTTATAGATTTAATACAGTTCCAATAAAAACTCTAGCAGTATATGGGCACAGGGAATCTGACATCAAAATTTAGATGGAAATGTAAAGAAATTAGAATATTTAAAAATTTTGGAAAACAAGAATAAAAAAGGATTATACTTTGTGATTTTGATATAGTGTAATTTACAGGAAGTACTGCACTGTGAAGGGATACAGAAATATTGTCCCCTGCCCTCCCCTCTTTTGACTCCTTTCTGTATTTTGGGGCATAGGACCGAGTACTAAACAACAAAACATGGTTGTCAGTCAAGCATGTCATTTCTAGAGAAACAAATGTAGATATATTCTCATCCAGAAAAGAAAATAAAAATAATTTGAAAGAAAAAAAAATAAAAATTATGTAGGAGTACAAAGGACCTAGAAAAGTAAAAAGAGAAAGGAAAAAAAAGTGTTGGAAGACGCTTAGTACCTAATTTTAAGACTTCTTCTAAAGCTATGGTAATCAAGGCAGTGTTGGTGTAAGGAAAGACATATAGATCATTGGAATCAAACAGAGAATCTAGAAATAGAACCACACATATATGTTCCACTGATTTTTGAAAGATTATTTAACATTAGCATTTTATAGAATATAAACTCAATTCAAGAGC